CCAGCCCCGTGCCCCACCGTCCCGGTGCCCCCGTGGTCCGGCTCAGCATGCCGGGCCAGTGCTTGCCTGGCTAAACAACCACTGGTTCTGGCTAGCCTGCAAGACAACGGCCGCTGGGCGAATTTTCGGCTGGATTACCGAGTTGACTAGCGAGCTGTCTTGCTGCACGACTTGTACAAGGGCTGAACGAAGGAGGGTGCAGAAGTGCTTGGCCAGAAACGGGGAGCTGCTCGGGACCCTGCTTTTTAGCAGTAGTGAGCTGATACATTGGGTCGGTCCTACCATATAGCTACATCCTAAATACATTTCAGGATCCAAATCCTAAATAAGAACGGGTCAATTTGGATAAAGAAGAGCAAGGGGAAGAGGGTATCAAATGGAAGCAGCGGGCCGGGTCGTCTTGGTGTATTAGGTCTGGGGACTTTGTTGCACAGAGTTGATGTGTTAGTGCATTTTTTTTATGGCAATTCATTTTGGATGGACACTCAAGGGAGGAACTGCTCGTTTCATCTGAGCTGCGGAAGAAAAGCTAAAAGTTGCCTGGTCTATATTGAAGGCCGGACTAACTGTATGGCTGTCATTTTTAAAAACAGTTCTTTTTGGTACGTTGGTGAAAGAGGGTACGTTTAGTGCCGGGGTTATGTGAAATTCCTATATTTTCAATTTAATATGTTTCAGTATTTGTAATCCAGTTATTGTTGTCTCTTTCTTAGCAGACCCATGTGTCTTTGCTTACCGTGGTCCACCCTTCTCTCTAAGTCTGGATACTAAATTACTTCATAAATCTGACTGCTAGTGAGACGTGAATTAAATTAATGGGGACATGTGCGCCAGTAAGGACAGAAAAATTCGGACCATAAATTGTCTGTTTTCTCAATGAGTTTATCTTCCCATTAACCATTTGTTAATTACCAGCGACCAAAATTCCTTTGCATTAAAATATATTTGCCCAAGAGTATTTTGTCTGACAGCAGGTAAAGGACTCTGGGCTGGTCCCGTAGGGACCGTGAGGGTGTTTCAACAAGTTCTGGGTATGTAAATGATTTTTTTTTTTTTCCCTAGTTTTGAATAACTTATTTTAAAAATTCTTCTGCTTTCCTGGAAGTGTTCCTCTAAGTTTGGTTCCTTTTTTAGCTGGTACTAGCGGAGGGACTTGCTACTGTGAAAGAAGCTTTTTACGTTACGGGAAAGAGGAGGAGGAAGGAAATAAGACGTGAAGAGTTTTGTAACAGCAGAGATGTTCCTGCATTTTACGTGTGTAGCTGCTAACCGAATGGATGAGCGCTGAGCAGAGGGAGCGAGGGTAAATCTTCCTTCTGCCAAGATCTGCACGAGCTTGCAAAAAACGCTTGAGAAATAAGTTACCTCCAGCACAAAAACGGTTAGCTGCTCTGCGTGTGCTGCAGTCGGTGTCGAGGATGGAGAGCTCGAGCTCGAGTCTGGGCTCTTAAATCCAGCTGGGAAAGGGATCCTTGATGCTAGAGGTGGCATTTTTCTTTTTTTTTTTTGTTTGTTTGTTTTTTTTGTTTTGTTTTTAACAGACCTTTAAAATAATTTGCTCTTACTGAATTATGTTCATTTATAAGGAAAAGGATATTAATTATTTACCGCAGATGGCTTCATTCTAGAAATCCAATTTCTGGTGAGGTGGTAGGACTGATCCAGGTCTCGCTGAGATCGGTGGTTTGGCACACAGTCACTAGAACAACTTAATGCATTTTTTATTAATAATAAAAACATATTGATTGGGATATGAGGTAGAACAAGTTGCAGAAATTTGATCAAAGTCACATTTTTGGGGAGGTGGGCGGGGACGGATGCTAAACCACAACATGTTAAATTGATCCTGCTAGCACCAGCATTTGATACTTGAAAAACATTGGTGTTCAAAGGACTGTAGGTGGTCGGAAAAAGCACCATTTTGTTGGACGTGGTATCCCTGCAGCCTTTCAAAATCACCTTAATGGCCTACGAAGGTCCTTCCCAGGACTAATTGTTGCTGGAGCTGTTGGGGTTTGGATAAATACGAGGGAGCAGCTCGGCATCTTCCTCCGTGAAGCACCTACCTGGTGGTCACCCCAGATCCCAGGCATCGCAATGATTGCTTTATGAACCTCAAAACAGACGCGTGTGTAAACACAGCGAGTTACCGCGACGCGTCCAGTACTTTTTTAAGATACCTAATTCAGATCCTTTCAGATTTCATACCTGCTACAGAAGTGAATTAATGACACTCCCCTGTAACCCAGCTGCAGTGTCATCGGTGGGGATTTCCTCGTTGAATTTGCAGTTTGCTCATACCTGCTTTTGAAATACGGTGAAGGATTGCGCCAAATTTCCCAACAGCTTTTCACCTCCACTCTTAAAAACAACATTTTGTCTCGAAAGACAGCTGCCTGTTGAAAAGATGCTTAAAACGCCGCATCCGTGATGGCATCCCAATGGGGTGCGGTTCATGGCATGCCTTGAAAGCAAACCAGGGCTATTGCCGGTGGAAGGAAATTGAACGTATTCTATTTAGACGACTTATTTGTCGTTACGCAGCCGAGGGGAAATGGGAAAATTATACTGCTTGGTGCTCGGCATTAACGTTTTGCAGCTTTCATCCACGTATTTGAGCGAATCGTCTCCCTGGATGAGGGGCTGCAGCTGGTTCTGCA